TAAATTTAATGCAGCTTATCAATTATATTAAACAATGCTTGATAAATAAGGTAACCTTCATCGTTAAGTTGGCAATAAATAAAGTAGCCTTCATTGTTAAGTTGCCAATAAATAAAATAACCTTCATCTTGAAATATATGTAGAGTAATTTTTGTTGATTACTCAAACTTAAAATATCCATGAAGTCTAATGCTTTTAATTTAATTCTTAAATCATGCCATTTAGGAGACATTCGCATCATTACATATATTTTATTATTGTTAGCGTTGAAATTATACAATGGAACCAAAATTTTCATGGATTTTTACTGGAAGACACTCAATAAGAATAAAGTGTTTTTAAATGAAAACAATATATATTTTCAGTTTCAACCACTGCAACTTGTACCTGAGATGACTTGTTTAATAATTACGTTTTATATTCACCAATATTTTTTTAGATATCTCAGTACAGAAAAGCTTAATATTCATTTAATTATATTCGATTATGAATTTATATACATATCATTTAATAATGCTTTTGAGTTTAAATGAAAATAATTGCTTGAAAAGTGGCTTAAAAGACTACTATGTGTATTGCAAAACAATATATAAAATACCAAACAATCTCTTGAACCCAACTTAGCTAGTGGCAGGAATCCTAAATATTGTCCAATGAACAGTCTTAAGTTATTGTTGTTGTTGTAGTATTGTTGTCGTATCCACTGAAGTGTACAAGGGAATCAAATAACGTGGTGCTCCAGAATAATACTACTTTGTCCAAAAAGTAAGACCAGTTTTTAATTTAAATTTCCCGGGCATATGGTATTTCTAAAAATCATCTCACCAAACCAGGCGTAATTCGAACACTAATGAATATTTTGACGTAAAATTTCACATAGATGTCAAGGACAGTGCCAACAACATAAAAAAGAAAAAAAAATTGAAATACCATATACCCGAGAAAGTCTTACTTTTGGAGACAGTAAGTAGTTTTGGCTATGTAATACAACAGTCTTAAGTAACATAACATTCTAGCATATTATACCATTCCATTCTCTTAATATTGTTTTCCTATACAAATTTACAGTTGTTTCATTCTTAAAACAATGTTACAAATTTTACTCAAAATGGGTGTCCAAATATGGCGGACAACACGCCTGGGCGATTTTCTCGTACGTTTCTCATTAAGATATCGTCGTTGCTATGGGATATGGACAATTTTGTTTTTCCCATCTTATTTTTCGATCCCTTTTTTTTTTTTTTTTCTCCTTTCTTCAGTGTCACTCTTTTATTCGTATATATTTCAGGACAATTTCTTCTCTCTTGTTACCCGCCGACTGTTTATGTGCGGTCGATTTAACAGTCATTGGCGAAGGGACACAAGCGTGTTCGATTCCGAGTCGTTTTCTTTTCTTTTCTGTTCCCAGCGAAGAGTGGAATTTTGGGGACTTCACTAACAAAACGTTCTCTGCAAATAATTCTTCCATCCCATTCCCCCTTCTTCGAAATCACGACTTGGAAATTCTTAGTTTGGAATGCTTTCTAATGTTCGCTTCGAAATTTGGAAGCGATTGTATGGAATTCTCTCACCGTCAATAGTGCTCTGGTCGAGTAAGAATAATGCGACACTTGGTATTCCAAAGGTGAGGGGGAGATCTCAAAACTTGTCATTTTGTTGCAAGATAGGGATTAAACATGGTTCATACTCATTTTTAAGAATTCTAAAAGTAATGTTTTCCAAACACGTATTGCAGAGTGTTGTTGTTCTTGCTAGAAAGAAAGAAGTTCTGTCTACGCTAATAAAGACAGCACTTTTTCGAATTGCTTCGAACTGGAATTTAAAAAATAATGCGTCTAAGCCAACTCTTTAGTTATTGTCTTTAATAATCAGATAAAAGGTCACAAAATATTCTCTTCAACATAAACATTTAAAGAACTTGTTTGAGCAAAAGAAAAATAATATTTTAAGAAACTTTCTTATCCCTAAAAACTCTGTTATCCCTTCCTATTTATTTATAGTAAATTAACTGGCGTAATTGTATCAGGACTGTCCTCGTAAATTGCTCTTTGGGTTCGAACTGAAGGGATCTTAATTCGAAACTCGATTAGGCAGACGGAAATCTTGAGAGGATGGGTACAATAAAACAATTTTCAGAGGATGGGTACAATAAAACTTTCGATAAAGTGGGTCCCTTCAGGATTTCTTCCTCTTCTTCATTGGTGCAATAGCTTATGGTGGGCCAAAGCTGCCTGCCTATACCAGATTTCGAGACGTTCTCTTTTTGACGTGGTAGGATTGTCAGCCCTATGCTCAACAGTCATGTTTGACGGGGCCTATGGTTTAAAATTGATTCCAAACTATTACAAACATCCATGGACTCAAACCCGATGTCATTAGCGCTGCCAGAGTGCTGGTCACTTGGCCATCAGGCCTGCCTTCAGGATTTATCCTTTCTAAAATGAGAATGTCCTCTCGTATCAAAAGCCATTTATTAAAGAAACTGTATTTTTGTTTAAAAAATAAAATAAAATGTATGTGAATCATAAAGAAAAATGAAATTATGATTAAAATGTTTATGCTTTAAAATTGTGGTCTCACCCCCTTGCGTCAAAACTGCAACAAATAGATTTTACACTATGTTTTAAACTAGATCAATTCATATTGAAAGAATGTATTAAATATAATTCTCATTAAATCTAAAAACAAGGACATGGGACTTCACCAAAGTGAGATTTATTTACGCCATATTAAGTCGAAGAGTAATTGATAATTCAATAAAATGATACTATCGGTTTGGCTTAGTCAGAAGCACTCGTATTTCAAATAACTTGATATCTGGATGTCCTTATGAAGATGCTTCTCTCAACTAGGGCTTTTGAGAGTTAAAATGTCTCCAACACACGAATAAAATATAGATAAGAGTTTTGTCCACGAAAAAAAAAAAAAAATAAAAAAAAAGCAATTGTAACATGGTCTTTAGACGGTGAGGATCTAACCGGAAGGGTCGAGCACCCCCCACCCACCACAAAACCGATCGATGCCCCTTTCTTTGTGATGGGGGTGCACAAAAAGAGTCACCCCCGTGACCGCTATCCGTGGTCTCATTTCCTGACTCGTAAGTGGCCTCATCAGAAGCAGGCCCCGGGGCTTATACGCTTTGCAATTTGTTCCCCGGTCTGTTTCTTTCGAGAAAGCCAGCCCCAGGGCCCCCGGGCTTCCCTGTCTTTTAATCAAAAGCGAAAGGGACACGGTTTCGCTCTTGCGCTCCAGCGAATGATATTGAACTTGAAGATTTTCTTTGAGAAACTTTTGGGGCCCGCCACCTTTCCTTGATAGAGAATGGGGACTTCTCTTTGGCTCTAAAATAAAGTACGTTCTGATTGATTAAAAAATGTTTCCCCAGGAATTCTGTAACTTTTCGGTATTGGAAATGAGATGGGCCGTAATGTGAGGGACTTGAATCGTGGTCCAGAAATTATAATTTCTTGAATGTATATTATTCGGTGTTATCTGAACAAAAGTATTATTGTCAGTGTTTTATCTAAATTTAATAAAAATAAAAGAAAAGAAATGATTGTAAAGAAAAAATTCAATTGTTTAATATGTTCAGAAATAAAGGTAAAATATATTAGATGTAATTTAAAATGCATGCAGAGTACATACAAACTATTTGAACAATCTGGGACATTTGAAGAGTAAGGTAAGGAGGTCCTTAAATGAAAAAAGATAAACCTTAAATGTGTAATTAACACACAAACATATGTATATATATTACATACATACCATATATATATATATATATATATATATATATATATGCGGTCTGAATGGTTGAGTGGCCGCTTTGGCGTTTGGTGCCGCAGGTTTTGGGCTAGAGTCCCGGCGGTGCCATAAATGTTTGTAGTGGTTCGGAATCCATTTTAAACTGTAGGTCCCAGTCTAACATGGCTGCAGAGATTTGGGCATAGGGCTAACAACCCTACGCCGTAAAAAGAAGACATCTTATGTTTCGAAATATGCCAGTAGGCAGACGTCCTGGGTCCACCATGGGGGCTGTTGCGCCAATCATATATATATATATAATTGGCTGTGTATATGATATTCATGTTTATACATATAATATGAATATTAAGTTTATAATCATGCATACTCTCATATTCGGCTGTATAACTATCAATAATAAACTATTCTTTTCGCCAACTAAACTATGTACCCCTTGCATTTTAACTTTGGTATCGGTATATTCTTTTTCGTGTAGCTTTTGAATCGTTGTTTAGAGATTATAATTGCTAAAAAATACGTCAATCATTACAATTCAACAATTATCCAACTGCCTAGGCAAAAATAAAAAATATTTACACTAACTTTAAAATATATAACTTCGGGATAGATTATATATTGCATAGGTTAAAAATATTTACATTAACTTTAAAATGCATAACTTTTAGATGGGTTATATATTTAGTATATTCTGTTTGCATAGCTCTTAAATCATGGTTCAAAGATTATAGTTGGAAGTCTTTTTGTGAGTAATGTGAAAATGTAGTGTGAATGTACTATGAAATAACAGAAATTAGAAATAAAGAAATCGATTCAAAAATATTCAAATTAATTATATATATATCAATTTGTCTATTTGTATATTCAAATTAATTATTAAAATATATTTGCATTACCTTTAATCAGAATTATTTGAACTGTAGCATCGAGAGCATGATTGTTTGAGGGTGTATTATTCTAGGTGTTGGTGGTGGTGAGCAAAGTTTTTTTTTTGTGAATATTGACAGAAAAATTATAAATAAATATATATATATATCAAAACAATTACAAATAAACCAAAAAAATTAAAACATATTAAACAAACAAATTATAAATTTCTCATCTATGTTAGTTTAAGTTATAACATATATTATAACTTTTAAATGGTCTAGATTGGTGACATTGGAATCGGGATTAATAGTCCATAATTGCTAGAAGGTGTATCAATTATTACTTATCTGAAAAACAATTGTTTAGCCAACGGCCATACCATGCTGAATATACCGGTTCTCGTTAGATCACCGAAGTCAAGCATCATTGGGGCGGTCAGTACTTGGGTGGGTGGCACCGCGTGACGTTGGCATTCACAAATTTGGGACCTGAATGGCCGAGTGTCTGGCTCTGGCGCTCGGTGCCACAGGTTTCGGGTTCGAATCCCGGCGGTGTTTATAGTGATTCGAATCCACTTTAAGCCGTAGGTGCCGGTCTCCTATGACTGTAAGAGCGTCACGGAGCCAAAGTCAGACTTCTACCTACTGGGTGCTCCATCACAACAAAAGCTGCTTCCTTCCCCTTCAATCATGAGTACGTATGGGCTCGTGGGCTTGGCCAGCCAAGTGGGATAAGAAACAACAAACAACAACATTATTACTTATCTGAAAAACAATTGTTAATATTGCACCGCAAAAATTGCAACTGAAAACAATGATCTATTGTCTTATAAAATCAAAGATAAAATATATCAATGACAAAATGCATAGTATTTTGATATAAATGTATTTATTTTATAAAGTCTTTTTTGGCTCTTTACTATTTGCAATAGTTATTAATTTGCTGAAAAATGTATCGTTCATTGGGTATTTGATCAGAGTAATATCGCCAATATTATACAAATATATAAAAAAGCAATTTTTATAATTAGATTATATAATGTTTTTACAGAAATCAATTATCTGCGTTATATTTTAACTTTAATATAAATTTAAATTTTATATGTGCTATTATATATGTGCTGTTCTGAAGTGTATTATATAGTACACATGTGAAAATGTATTTTTAGAATATTGCATTTTGAGAATATCGCAATTAAAAATTTAGTAACTTAATTTAAAAAAATTAAAATTAGAAATAAAATAAAATTAATAAAAATTAAAATAAATAATAAAATAAAATTAATTATAATTAATTATTATTAATTAATTATGATATTAATATTAATATTATTATTATTAATTATAAATAATTAAAATAAAATAAATTAAATAATAAAATTAAATTAAATAATAAAATTAAATTAATAATTAAAATAAAATTAAAAATTAAAATTAAAATTACTTTTAAAATTAGTGTTTGATAAATTAATCTATTAAGAAAGATAAAGTAAGTAAGTAAACGACTTCTTTCTAAGGTAAAATGTTTATGTTAGTTTTATTTCAAAACTACTTAAATTACCTGGCATTTCCTTGGATCATATGAAGAGAATTGATAGAATAAGGATAAAAGAGACAATAAAATTTAATAATTATAAATTTCAAAAATGATTTTTACTTTCATTAATAATTTATAAGCAAAAATAAACTTCAACATCAAATAAAAAATTTAGGTAATCACTTTTGAGTGCACGATATTTTTACACTCAACAAGGCTCAGTGTAAATAATGTAAACATATATTTGAATTTTTGCCCTAAAACCTAGACGAAAATTTAAACTATCATTGGATTTAGGGTGTTAGAATCTATAGAACTCAATATCCCAATCCTCCCATTAAATTAAATGGTGGAAATCAGTGATAAAGAAGTGGAATTTACTAAGTAGCCTACGGCCTTTACATAGACCATAGTTTATATGCGTAGAAAATGTGAATGCTCCAGGTAGAAGATTGAATTTGTATAAAGGACAAACAAACAGATTTTCAAAGATATGCATAAGATGTATAATGTTCTCTTACCTTCTTACTATACATTATTTTCTTTACAACCCTGTCAAAAGGCTTAATATGAATTTTATTAAAGTAAAATGTTATTTAGACATATGCTATGCTATTATAAATAGAATCGATAATGGTCAGAATAAATTTGGTGTGTCATTTTTTTGCGCTCTTTAGGCTAATTAGACAGGGACCTACCGTTTAACTTGCATTCCGAGCCGCTAACAAACATCTATGCCATCGCCAGGATTCAAACCTGAAGCCCAGAGAGATAGCCAATTGGCCATCCCTTAAAAACAAGAGAAGAGAGGTTAATATCTTCAGGAAGAACATCTATCTTCAGAAAGTTCAGAAAATCCAATGCCTAATGTGCCATCATAAACGTCATTGAATTACCTTTTATGATTGTTTTATTTTATCCATAGTGGTTTCCGAACCACTAACAAATATCCATGCCACCTTCAAGATTCGAACCTCAATGGCCACAGCTCTAGCCAATTGGCCATCAGGCCACTCTTAAAATAGGAAATACATTATTTTTTTTATTATTGTGTATAGAAACAAAACCAATGGGCTCAAATAAAAGGATTATAATTTATGATGGTTATAATAAAAAATGAATATAATTTATCATATTTCTATCCGCTAATTTAAACTATTAAAAAAATAGAATTACAGTTCATACATTTTATTTGACATAAAAAATATATAATTGTGCATTAAATTTGTGTAATTAATTTTTATTGACAAAAGCCATTGAGCATTGAATGAATGCCAGATATAACACAATAGCGTTTCATTGCTATCCTTTGTAAAATTTTCTATTTGTCTATATCCTTTATGCAATAATTTTATTATATAAAGGCATTTTTATTCAATGAAAAAAAAGTACTTTTTTTTTTCTACCCTCTCTGATTTCATTTATACATCCAAAAAGCAAAAGCAGTATAATCGTGTTTCATTCATCCTTGTTGTAGAGGGAAAGCAAAAAAAAAAAAAAGTTATTTCAATGAGCTCAGGAAACTCTAATAGCCTAGCATTTCCTGTTACCAAAGAAGGAAAATATTTATTTTAAATGAAGCTCCGGTTTTTATGCCCGCCAACAAAGAATACTCTTGTGAACGTGTTCTTGATTATAGATAACTTCACATTCAGAGTGTAAGAACAGCTGATATTTTTATTTTTTACATCTGCCTGAAATTAGATATGTTAATCACAAAGAAAGGAAAACAGTAGGAAAACTTTTCCTCTGTTTTATATCATTCTGTAGTAAGTGTTAAGCATAATGATATTCTCAGTTCCATTTATTTTTATTCGTTCTCTTTTTTTTAGTTAATTTTTAACTAAATTATTCTAATTATTCCAAATGGATAACGTCCGTTAGAACTGACTAATTAGAATAAATTTGCATATACGTTTAAAGTACATCGTGTTCGAGAGTCCAAAGAAATCTTTAGCAATAAAAGATTTAAAATAAATTACATAATTTTAGAACAAAGCAGGTATTAAGTAGGATTATTGCAATCAGTTTTTTGTGCTTCCATTTTTGTAAAATATTTGTTGTCGTTGAAGATGGGTGGTCATCCTGTTACATGTATGCCTTTAATAGTCAACTGAAAGGCGATTAGGGAAGAACATTGTCTTCTGAGACTGTCCTGTATTTCCTTGTCGTATGAGAAAAAAAAGGCGGAAAACTCCCACCTGGCAACTTAACTATTTATACAAGAGGCTTTACATACATGGGTTTGGAATCTTTCTAGAACTTCTTTATGGCTTGCAAAGTGATAGCAGTCTTCCGAGTCGCCTCACAAACGAATTTTAGGATCCATCTTCGAATTTGGTCTTTATTCGCTACTTTCTTCCCTTTATTGACTTTGATGGCAGTTTTGCCTTTTATTATGCCGATCGTATGAAATATTGAATTGCCTATTTAGATGAGTTGATTACTGTTGTTATTTGTTGCTGTTGTCGTATCACCTGAAGAGTAGAAGGAAATCAAATACCTTGGTGCTCCCGAATAATATTGTTGATTGTTAGCTAAGAGATATAATATATAGAGTTATTTTCTATTAAATTACCATGATGGAAATTTATTATATAAACAGATTTCCTTTTTTTTATTCAAAACGTGAAAGATAGACGATTTAACTTAGCATTATTCAACGATGATTTTTTTTTTTTTTTTTTTTTTTTTTTTTTTTTTTTTTTTTTTTTTTTGCATATTCAATATAGAAGCGTTATTTTCGTGTATTTTTCCACAATCATCTAAAATCATAACAAATGTAAATAAAATCAATATAATAACAAATATAAATAACAATGCCAAATGTTCGCTAATATCCTTAAATTATTAAATATCCAGAATTATTCTGAAATTAAATAATTTATTTAACCATAAATTACTAGTTTCATTTTAATCTGCTCTGAGAATAGAAATTCGCAGAAAAATATAAATAGCATTACAAAATGTTCGCTAAGTGCATTTTAAACTTACTAGTTACAAAAATATCAAAACTGAATAAGATCCATTCCATTACATTAAATAGGTATTCCTGCAAGAAATTCTTAAACCATCTATTAAACAAAGAAAAAAATACTTTCTGAACCAGTATTGGAAAAAACGGCAACCAAATCTTTGAAAACTTCGTATTGTTTTAAAATTTTCATTCCACTTTTAACTTAAGCGTAATAATATTCAATTTTATTTATCCTTTTTCCCGAATATAAATATCCGAACGATTATTGGAAGAAGTAAAAAAAAAAAAAAAATTCAAAAATGAACATTAAAATGAATTCATCTCTTAGCGAACTACTTTGAAAGTGAGAAAAGCCATACCTTTTTAGGAACAGATGCCTCGATTCAGCAATAAATTTCCACCATCTTTAAAGAAGGAATTGAATTTAAAATCACATATCGGAGGCAAATGTAATGACCGTTCCTCCCCCAACCACCCACTCGGCGATGAGGGTCTTTCCTTTTTATGCAAAACGTTTTTTATCACCACCCCCACTCACCGGTCGGCAAGAAAAAACGCTGACAAAAGAGCTTCTTCACTTTTGTCGGCGAATTTAAACCCGACCCTTGCTCAGCGTAACATGAAACGCCGGCAGGCTATTAATAACAGTTGCAAATTTTATGAATATCCGTTTTTAGGAAAGCCTCACGTAATAATTCATAAAAATTTCTCTATAATAGCTGACGAAGTGAATCGCTTTGAGAAGTACCCAGTCAGGGGAAAAAAATGATAAAATCTTATTGTGTGTGTGGAATTTTTGCGGGAATATGGACATCTAGTAGATTAACTTTCATGGAAAATGGGAATGGTAAGAACATCCGAGTCCTCTTTTATTCGATATTTCTTCAATTGACAGTTCATTCTCGTGGCATTTCAGGAAAAATTTTTGCTTAAAAATTATTTTCTTCCAAA